GATGACCGAGGTCTTACAGGGGTTATAATAACACCATTTATATTAACAAAATTACAAGCACAGATGAACTGGCGACATATCAAAGATTCAATAATGCTGAAATGATTGATTCTTCAAGGACAATGTCCAGCAAGAACTGTCTTTGTTGCATTATACCTATAGGATGTAGGAGTGAATCATCAAGAAAATCTAGCTTATGGTGACTCTTATACCCAATAAATCTTCGCTTAATTCCCTGTCACAAAATCCTGACAGTAATATCTGCTGAACTACGTGGTTTAATCTTCCTTTCTATTGTCACAATAACAGAACGACATCATCCATTTGACAATCGACATCTAGGGCTTTAGGAAAGTATAAGTTGAGGCTTTTAGCCTGCAATAATTCCCCTTATATCGGAGGACTTTTTATCCCCGAAACTATACCATGAGCTGTCAATTGCTTTCTTTGCAGTAGTACAATAGGTACTGATATCGGATTGAACTATCCGGGGATTTTGTGCAGCGAGGGAAAAATCTTAATCAAATTCGCATTAGAGGGGATTTGATCAGGTATAGGAAACCGGGGCTTCGTAATGGCGGTCCTTAACGTCTGCTTCTTGGGTTGACAAGAGAAGTCCGTGCAAGAATCCCACACAAAGCAATGTTGTATTAAATTTATTGATTAAACGTAAGGAGCTTCCCTCCAAAAAAAAAAAAAAAATGGAGAATTGATACATCACTGGTTAAGACAATGTATACTTTCAAACAAACTGCACAAAAGAATTAGATGAGTATCGAGGGGAATCAATAAATCTAGTAGGTAAATCGCGGGGAAGACTCATAAAAAACTTGATTAAACAACATCCATTAGAGAAAAGCAGTCGGTTTTATGAACGTCTTGTTGACAAGAAGCTCTAGAAAAATCAGATAGCGCACATTGATGTGTATTGATCAGTGTTTGATGGCTTCGTGTAATTTATTCTGTAATTGACCCCTTCCGATTAAAGGGTTTTGTGTTCTACTGCTATTTTTAAACTAAAATTTCTTATTACCTACAAGTAAATTAAATCAAAAATATTTTTAGAATTAGTTTTTTTTTTAATTTATTGTTTGAAACATAAATGTATGCTTTTTTCCGTCTTTTCAGGATTTAAAATCGTTAGAATTCCATCATTTATTTTTGTCTATATCTCTGATTAATTATTCCCACGATTTTTTTTTCTCTTTTCGATTCTAAAAGAAAATATTTCAAATTCTTTTTAAACTGTATTGAGTTACATGTGTTAGATTCACACACCACTGAGAAAAGCACTTTTCCCTTTTGTTGTTACACAACTTCGTAGGCCCAGATTGAAAGATTTTCCTTTTTGTTTTCTACTTATTAAATTTCACGTAACATTAAACAGCGGGGTATGTGTCGAAATTCTAAGCCGATTATTGGCGTCTAATGAGAGACTCATCCCGATCAAGAATACCAGAAGTTTTTCAAACGTGTGTGTTTACATTTCTCCTTCAATCACCTCTTAATCATTTAGCCAAATATTAAGAGCTAAATGTTACTACATCTCCTTGTTTGTTTTGACATATTAAACTTGTCTTATCGGAAATAAGGAGAATGATTCTTTAAAGCTAACATAAATACGGACCATCGTGTGCAGTAAATTTGGTGGGTACCAAAATAATGTGTGTCTTACATCACGCGCATAATGCTACTGTGTACGAAACTTTGGAGAAATCCTGATCCGTGTTTTCGTACAAGAAACACGAGATGTAAAATAAACTTTGGGATACTGGGAGAAATTTTCAGCGTCCCTAATAAATCCCAGCTGTGGTAATAAGAAAAGCCATTTCTGTTTGCCCAGTAATATACATGGTAAATAAAAGATTGTTGTTTTAACAGAAGCAACTTCATGACCGATGACATGTTTTCCCTTTGCAAATTTCTTATTAATGCCTAAGCTTTGGTGAGAAATCCAGATAACCAAATCCAAAAAAAAAAAATGTTCAAATTTGTATGGCAAAAAATTCTCTTTACCTTTACATATTTCGTTTTTAATGAACAAAACAAACCGGATTTCTTCGAGGTTAGTGTATCTTGGCAGCGATATAGAAACTATGCATGAGAGAAGTGAAAAGAGTGCTTTTAGACATGGGGCTAGAAAAGGCAAGAAAAACAAGTAACTAGATAATAATCACGGATATTGTAATTGAAAAACAAGTAAAGAACAAAATCTAGTGCGATTAGAGGTTGATCTTGGTGGTTTCAGGTCGATTAAAGCATTGTTTTGGAAGTCGAAAATTGATTTTTTTGTGCGTGCACCCGATCTGAATGGTCACTTAGCACGAGAGGATTTCGTTAAAAAAGAAGAAACTGAGGGCAAAAGAATCTTATCATGATTGAGCAATACATACAATAACTTGAATAAGTCAGAAAAATCTTCGCATTGAAATCTTTCCTGTCTGAATGCAAATAAAGCAAACTTGTCGACAAAAATTCTGAAAGCATAGAGCGAATGATAACCTACAACGACCCGAATGTTTAGTGACTAACGATAGCAATTGCTGTTAACAAGCATATCTGTCCATCTTTGTTCATGGTTGGCAAAACCTGTCCAGTGACAACACTGTTACCTGTTAGGTGTGAAATCAACAAGCATGCTGTGGCCACAGATATTCAATTAGCCGATTTTGACACGACAATTAGCGAAAACACCATAAACCATACTGTTTATGTCCAGCGCTATTTATTCCTCTCCCACGGGATTCCATGAGCATTGTATAGAGAGTCAAAATCCCCTCCCTAGAGAATCTGTTCCCTTTTGCTTTAGTTAAAGTAAGTTTCTATTGAGAAAGTTTTTATTTAAGGTCAATTCTCTCATCAATCCCATTGTTCGCATTATTAGACCGACCAAGAGGCTACTCGCTGTTTTTGGTCGTACTAATTACACAAGAGGATACTTAAAGGCCTATCTCATGCTGGCCTTTCTTTTACGGCAAATGAAGATAGAAAATGACAACGAATTTACTCAATGTAATGTAACTTCATTTGTGAAATGGTCTCTCTCCGAGCAGTAGGCATGCTATAACCGTCTAGAGATTTCCCTAGCTGGAGTAATACTAGAACAGCTATCTGTTTGGCCATTTATTTCATATTTCAGATAAATTATTTTCTTGCATGATGGGCTTATCTTTTTACTTTATCAATTATTACAATGTTCACTTTTAAAGGCTTTGAATAATGACCGGGTTGATTTCAATTTGTTACAATTGTAATTCTCGAAATTTAATTCCTCCCCATTTGCGAAATCTGAAGTCTCTTCAGTTTCTTTTTCAGCAAGTCATATTTCATATGAATTATTGCCATTGTTGGATATAAACACATTCGATGATCAATGCTTTCTGGCTATATTACGTTTTGTTAAGTGGCTAAAAGAGATTTTCTACAGATTGGAGAATGGTAGCAGCAGAAATTGGCCATCTAAACCGAGAGAAAAAAATCGATCACTCACAACAAAAATTATTCTTAGTAGAATATGTATTGGAACCATTATTAATTGATTAACCTGTCACTACTACACGCGATAGAACCGACCAAAATAAAGACAAGGTCCGAATTAGCCCAGGATTTACTTGATTATTTTCTTTCTAGAAATAGATTCGTGATAGGAATTATTGCACATCCCTATAGTCGTGAGGAAATCATAAAGATTCGAAATATTCTATATAAAGCGTAAGAATATAAAAGTACCGACTTTTATATTTGAAATCAGTTGTTTAACGCCTTCAAACAGTTCTTCGGGATTTGTATTTTCCTAAGTCTACAGGTCAAGCAGTTTAAAGGTGTCACTGCACCGAGGGTGCCTTTATAATTCTGTGTCTTTGAAGTCTGAACGGGAGAATAATTAAGAAAAAATGCTAGTTCATTGTAGCAGTCTTAAGTGTAGGTCCAATTTTCATACACAATCGTGTCCTAACATAAACAGGAATTTATAATTTAGCCCTTCTTCCCGAGAAAAATATCCTTTCATTTACATATTCATGGGTTTGCGAGATGTTTTTGATGACATAATTGGAATATACGTGCATATAATGTGGGATCTTTTATACAATCCCATAACTTAATTAGCATAAATAGTTGATGAGTTCCGATGTCACTGGTGACAGGTTTTATCATTACGCACAAATCACAAAAATGAAAACAATAGATAAAACGCGTTTCTGGCATAATGGCCATTGTCGTAATACCTGATGTTGATTGTCGTAATACCCGTTGCAGTCTCCGGTGATTCTACCTGGGTTTATTGGCATTTCTAGTCAGATACATATCGACTTTTAAGTGGCAGTATTGAATTAACACTTGTGTCAAGGGGCTTAGGATTCACATAGTACTGTCTTTGCTATTTAGAGTTTTTAATGAAGGTCTGTTTCTCGTGTGTTTCTGTGCTTTTTCTAAGAGATCATTAAAACCTCGATTAAGCCCCGGTCTAATAGAACCTTGATAAAGAGATTTACAGTAGAGGCTCATTTAATACATACTTCTAACGATAATCCGTTTTGATATTTTTTTAAGTTGTTGTGCACGGTTACAATTTTTCTGATTAATTTAATCTTCAATCGCTGAAATAACATTGAAAGCTTTATCTTCCTTCTTTATCGCTGATAATTCGTTATCATTTCCGGCATCATCATGTTGTTTTACTTTAAAGTTCTTTTTTATTCGGCTCAATATTTATTATCCCTGATATTTCATTAACTATCAAGACAGTAAACGCATTAGTTCTGACTGGCATTCACTCTGTATCCAGCTTTTAGATAATTTTTAGATCGTGCTTGATGATCCAAAATGATACAAAAATGTTTCATTTCAAGTGTTCAAACAACGACGTGTGTGATAGCAATGTAATGCATGATAGTATGTATACACCATTAATCTGGAATCATTGTTTAATTGAGAGATAACCCATGATAATAAAAACAATTAACCTGAGGAGATAACATTCTCGTGAACTCGGAACCTACCTGAAGTGATGGACATCAGCACTGAAAAAATAAACATCCACGGTGGAGCTTCCATGTTTTTTTTCACTGTACTTTCTGTTCACAGACAACACACGTAGAATTGTAAAGAAGAAACAAAAACTAACAACATATACATATATCCCGGAATGAAATCTACACGTCTAAATTCTGTCACACATTTAGAGGTGTGTGCCACATTTTGTTTAAGCCGCCACACACCAGCGCACAAGAAAGAAACGTCTTTAAACCATGCGACAAAACTACGGGCTTTTATACCCAACAATACGATGAATCGAGGATCTCCTTTGCCACACTGTAATGACACACAAACGCCTCGTCCCCTCTCACATTCGTTTAACAAATGAAGTTCAAGCGACACAGCAAAAATTTTTCATTGAAAATTCGCCCCCGGGCGTCAAGTGCAAATTGGCAGGGTCCGTTCTCTCTCTTCGTTGTGATTGGACTCGAAATATACAGCCTCCTCGGGAACAAACCAAGGCAGTTATTGTCCATTGCATAAACAATAACACATTTAGTGATATAGGTATCTGATACACGGTGTGGCTTGATAAGATGCTGAATTTAGCGGCAATAAAACGCGACTGAACGGCCAAATTACTTTTTCCTTCTTTATCGATGAGAAAGAGTGGCGTAGCACAAAATTTCATCCAACCGCGCGCGCTGCGATGCGCTGGTATCGGTAACTTGGACGATAGTGAAGGCCGAACCAACCAAGCAAGCGACGCTTCCAATGGATGTGAAAATTCAATCAAGTAATTTTTCTCACCGTTATTGCAGTGATTCTTTTGCTTCTTTTTTTTTAGTCTTTGTTCACTGAAAATTAGAATTTGTGTTGATTTAAATATCAAGGCATATTTATAAGCAGTTAAGCACATGCAAGTAATAAATATATACCGGTATTTATCTCTTAAGAGCACTTAATTTTTTAATAATCAGAGAAAAGACAGAGAGAAGAAAATCTAGAATTTCTTTGTTTTTAAAGGCATACCATTCTAATCCAGCTACATGTACACTAATAGATTTTTAATATTACGTAAAGAGAAAAATATGCATATATTTCGGCAAATCGATTGGATATACAAAAGACTAAACCAAATCAATGCAAACATAAATATATTTTATTTCGCGTAATGACAGCATATCTTTGTGTATATCAAAACTCATTATACAATGATCAATGCATTAATGTTTATTATGCAAATTAAGTCTATAAATCTGGCTTACTAATGTGCTTAAAATGTAGACAGATGTTCACTTTACCAAATATTTGATTAAACCTTTTTTGGCAAATAAATAAATAATAAACACGCTCCGATGGAACTCAAACCTGATGTGAAAATATGTTTTTAAGAGCAAGCATATTTAATGTGTCCCTGAAGATTATTACATTTCTGATTATGAAAGAAAACACAAAAGCGCCAAACGAAGGAATTCATAATGCCCCTACTAGTGTCTCATAAATCAGCATTAGATGAATGAAATAATTTTCATTTGGAAATGAGGGTTGTTATTGTATAAAAGAACACCCTGGACTTGGTACACAATCGTAAATTATTATAAAACTCAACAGAGCGTGACCAAGAGCAGATGAGGGAAAAAAAAATCAGAATGAACGGAGTTCATAACTCAGCACCAGAGCAGATCGCATCACAGAATTGAGAGAGAAAAAATAATTTTCTTTGTCGCCCTTAAAAGCCGAAAAAAATATTGTTACATCAGGGAAAAAGATTGCAGTGATTTGTGGAGATACTCTATTGTTAAACAAGGGACGTGATGTTCGGTAAAGGGGAAGTCAATGATGAATTTATGGTTCAATATCTGAGAAAAAGTGATAAACGTTGGTGATAAAGACATCATTTCGTCAATTAGCATGACCCTGAGAAAAAAGATCACAATCCATGGCGACGCAACCGTCATGGCGACCTGAAAAAAGCTTCTTTTATTGAATAGACGAGCCATGGACTTCTATGAACGTGACAATTGAAAAAATTATCATATAGTTCCATATCTTAATTCTGGTATTTTGAAAAGTTAAACAAGTACTTCAATATACCATGCATCTAACTGACTTATTATAGTAAGGAAATCAAAATCGGGATCTAAATTTTGCCATATAAAACCTTTAACAACAGCAGAATACGCAAGGGAAAAGTGTCTGTCATATTTTAAAGATCATTGATAATTATTGAAAAATCGTTTTTAAAATAATTGTATTTCACCAAAAATCAATAAGTATAACTGCACAAAACATACAGTACACACCTGAAACAACGGCTATAAATAGAATCAGGTGTTGGCTGTGACAGATGCAAAGTAAAAGTTAGTCTTTGTAATATCAATAATTGAACAGAAAAGCCAGACTTTTTCGTGCGAAATTATCTCTTCTCAGTCCTCTTATATTTCAAAATGAACATGGTCAGTTAATACCGAGAGAATGCCTTGTCTATAATTAGTGGAGGTTGGAATTACAGGTTACTAACGAAGATGTGATTTATACGAACTAAGCCATTATCATGTTTGACTGGATTTAAAACATGGCGAATTTATGAGCTGTTGGATTCACTATGTCTACATAATATATTTCAGTCGCCATCTTCTTTTGTTCGCGGGATGACTTAAACCTATGTCACTTAAACGTGAAATAGAATTTCACGATACCTTGAGGTCTTTTTACGAAAGTCGAACTTTCGTATCAAATTGTAAGTAATGAGAGATGACAAAAATACCAAGGTATTAAATCTACACGTGTTAAGATGTAAAAACCTGATTTCACCTACCATAAAGGGCGATAGGATTAGATTAGTGTAAGGAAGCTCAATTTACACTTATGAAAAATATTTTTGTTGTTTTGAGAGAATCATAAAACGGTTGTAAGTTTCAGCAAAGGATACCTGCAATATTTGCCAAAGGGGAAAATGTTCAATAAATGAACAGAACCACTGTTGTCTACCAACTTAAGTGTACATGGGTAAAATACAACAAATTATTTATTATCGTATAATGTTTAGAACATGTACGACTGACCACATATAAAACGTTCAAACGACTAAGATAATCTGCATCACAGAAACTAGTGGCTGCAAAGCACCGATTTGATCTTGACAACCTGGCCGGTTCTTTTTCTTTTGTATGAGAGAACATTCATTCCTATGGCACGCCAAATTCACAAAAATGAGATAATCATAGTTTCACAATCGATAAACTAGGTTTATCGGTTGTAAACTATAGTTTACAAACCGTAAACTATAGTTAACAACGTTAATCTATATTTCACATCTGTAAACCGTAGTTAACGCGATAATCTATGTTTCACAACCGTAAACTATACTTAACACCGAAAACAATCATTTGCGATTGCAAACGTAGATTATCTGATAAATACAGTTTCACGATTTGTAAACTATTGTTTACAAACCGTTAACTATAGTTAACGATCTGATAAATATAGTTTCACGATTTGTGAAACTATGATTAACAACACTTAACTATAGTTTACGATAGTTTACAAACGTGAATCTATGTTTATCAACAAAATCTATTGTTAACGCTTATTACAGACAGATAAACTTAGATTATCATTCGTAAACTATAGTTAACAACCGTTAAATATAGTTTTACAGATAAAAACTATACTTAACGAATCGTTAACTATACTTAACGAATCGTTAACTATAGTTTACGGTTTGTAAACTATAGTTTACAGTCGATAAACCTAGTTTATTAAATGTGAAACTAGGTTTATCTCATTTTTGTGAATTTGGCGTGCCATACATTCCCGATTACTGTCATTCACTGCAAGAAAATATTTCCCTTTTCTTTTTGAAGGGAAACACTTGATACTGATTGATTGTTTTTGAAAAACTGAATTCAGACCGACCACGAAGTCATCACTCGGGGAAAAGGGTCCTTAACCTAACTCTGCATTTTTAAAACAAAGAAGTTACAAATATTTTCACTATTATAAAAAAAAGATATACAAGTTTTTATATGGTTCTTAAAGCAAAGGTAAAATTAATGTTAAACATTCCTGGAAGAAAAATTGGCATTTAATGTTAAAAATGAACATAATGGTTCACATGTAAGGCACTCTCTCTTAGACAAATCTTTCTTAATGAATTTTTGCCCAAAGTAATAGGGAATATATTCCTAAAATACAGACTGCAGTATCTTTCTATTTGTAAATAAAAAAAACTAAATAATCAGGAAACTGGTTTTTGGTATTGGGAAATTTTAAAATCTCATTTTCGCATAACCCTGGGGCACAAGAACAGATACTGCAGATCCACCTTTTGCAAAATCAAATTTATTGATGCTTGATGCCGTTCATGTAAATGTTTTAATCTAAGGAAGTTAAACAGCGATCTACTTGAGCGTGTGATTTTGAAAGAAAGGTATGTTTTGGCAGTGAAGAAACTTAGGTCGGTTTCTAAAGATGACAGGTGCATGTCAAATGAAATCAGCAATTTCAAACTCGCGATGTAAATCAAACTTGCAATTGGGTTTCCGATATTTCTGGTCATCAAGCTAGGCCATAAGAAAGCCAAATGGACTTCCAATTTGGGAAGAAATCTGAAATAATACGATTTGATGTTCAAGTCTCTTTCAGTTGGAGAATCGGACGTCAGAGCGGAAGTATGGAGAACTAAGTCCCATTGATCGGCACTTATATGTTTGCATCTAAATAAAATGGGTTTTAGACTTTTTATCAGTTGTGGTGGATTCTTCCCCTTGAAATGAAACACCATAAGTTTTATTATAAGATGTGTTGAATATCAACAAATGTATGCGAAATTAATTCATCTGAGTCATTCTTTTCATGTATATGAATAATTAAGAATGATTAATAGGACAATGTTTAACTCTCCTTGTTATTGTAAAAACGAAAGGTCATTATTAATGATTTTTCTCTCATTCATGTGAGGGAGGGTGCAAAAGAACGAAAACACAATAATTTCTATTTTGCTTAAAAAGTGATGTCACGCAGTTACAAAAGTAAAGAATCCACATGCAGGGCAGAACAAAGGCATTAAAGGTAATATATTCGACAACATGATCACTCGACACACAAGTACTGCCTAAAAAGCCGACGGAAGGATTGTCCAAACCCCTTCTACCTGGTCACACGATCTCGGGTTAAAGAAAAATAATGATAGTACTCTTGGCAGGTGTTTTTTGTCACTCACAGCAAGGAACCCCAATGATTTGTCCAGCTTTCATAGTGAAGCACCAATTATCCATCCCCGCTGAAAAGCCTTATACTCGACTTCACGTAATTCAAAACCGGAGGAACTCGATTGGAACCACCCAAAACATGCTCTTGTTTAAAAAGTAATTAACACTGCATGGGAACGTTTTGATAATTATTATATTTCTTGGCAGTAAATCATGTCGCTAACAAACCGTTCGGCAGGTTTAGCTGTTCATCAGGAAATAAAACGTAAATTATAACCCAGGGAAGAGGAAAAATGCACCCCCTAAACAAGGTTGACCCCTTTCCCTTGGTGCACATGCGGTTGACAGGTTTTGTAAGGGATTCTGCACCACACACCTTTCATCACATCGTACATATTAATTTCCCACATACCAAACCCGCGAAAATCATTAACCCTGTTTATAAACAGTCATGTAACGAATGTGCCAAAACTGTGTAGAAA